TTTAATGAAAGTGTAAAGACTTTATTAGCAAAGAAGTATAAAACTTTTTGCAAATATCTTTTTTGTGTATGGTCAGAGGATCAGCGGAAAGAGTTTTTTTTTTTTAATTACATAATTAATTAAATTATAATAATATAAATAACATATTATATATACAGTATATATATTTTTTTAAGTTGGCAAAGTCATACCATACAGTTTTTATTTAATTATTTGTATTTTCTTTTATTCATGAATTTAATTGTGAAAAAATTCATTTATGATAGAAAAAAAACTACTGACTCAGTATCTTACCAAACCCTGCGACTCACTGCAGTTCACCTGTCAGTGAATATTAGTGTGTCATGACTCCACTAACACTGAAATTTAATGAAAAAATTATGTTGATCGAGTATCCATTTCCCAGGGTCTCTTTCATAGCCTGGTTAGTTAGCTCTATATATAGTTGACCATTAATATTTTGCAGTCCTTCTTCCTTTTGGGTGTTTTTACTTGTTCAGTGGTATTTGTTTTGCATTCACTTCCTTTTCTTCTTCTTGATGATCCCTTGTGTTTTTTCCCATTCTATCATTATGTTGCATCTCAGTTTCCAGAATTCTTTTTTCTCTTGCCAAAAATGGGCTGTTGCTGTCTTTATGGCTGCGATTGCTGCTTCCTTATTGCCTATGATTTCAACTGCAGTTTGCTTCATCTTGTATGTGATGGCCCCTCTAATGATGTTTGTCTATTCTATATCATTTGATCTTCTTTTTCCATTTGCTTTTGTCATTGGTTAGAGTGAATGTTTCCATTTTTTGTGGATTGGTTTATCTTGCTTTCAACCATTAGCCCTGACTGCACACTCTTCTGTGAGAAAGAAATTGTACTTCTCTATGAGTTTCATCTTGTTAGATCCACATGTGAGGAGATGAAGACCTTTTTCTTCTTGTTTTTTACAGATAATGCAAATTGGATCTTTATAAAGATGTGGTCTTCGTGTATACAGATTCATCATGTGAAGAGTTTATTTAATCAGGTCTTCCATCTGAAGGATCTATTTTTACAATCCTCCTGATCTGTTTGTAGTAATGTGATTTTGGACAGTGATAGTATTTGTAGTATTATTTTCCAGTCTATCTTCTTGGACTTGGAGCTTATGAGCCATTCTTGTGTCCATCTCAGTATTCTTCATTTGCTTGTCCATTTGGTTTTTAGAAGTGTCTTTCCTAATGTACTGAAGGGAAGGTCTATGAAGGTTTGGTCCTATCTAAGTAATGTCATGTTACTTGTTGAGCTTATTTTGTGGATCCTAATTAAGTCCTTGGGTTTGTCTACCAGTGTGGTTGCTGCTAGTTTATCTGCCAATTTGTTTCCTCAGTTACCTGAGTGACTTTTGATTTTTGTCCACTTGACCTCAATTCTTTGCATGGATATGATTTCTAGAATTGTATTGATCAAACATCTGTTTGAATTCCTTATTGTTCTGTTTTTAGTATTAACTATCTTAGATAGCTTTTTTATTTTATTAATTGCACTTTGACTATCTATAATAATATTAATTTTCTTTTCTGTATCAACTGTACTGATCACCATTAATATTGCTGTTAGTTTGGCTCTGGTTAATAATAAGATATCTCTGGTTTCTACTTGGAAGGTAGTGGTATCTGTTTCTGACTCTGTCTGGATTATTCATACTATTCCCATTCTGCTGTTGGTATATTGCCTGGTGAAGAAGCCATCTGTGTATATTTGTAGGTTGTTCCAGGGGACAATTTTCTATGCGATCTGCTATAGTCACATTATTGTTCTAAGTGGAGCTTTTAATCTCTTTTGAATTATATTCCTTGTAATTGATTCAGGATCCAAGTGTATGGTTGGTGGGGTTGTATTGGGTGGTTGTTTGTGATTGATCTCTCTAAATATATGTTCAATCCCTTAGGAGGATGATTCAAGTCAATTTGTTACTAGTTTGAATTGTATCCATCTTCTATGTTTTTGTAATATATCCCCTAGTACTTTTTGAGACTCTGATATTTACTGAGTTCCTGAGTAGTTGCATCGTTATACATTGCTGTATTGTTTTCTAAGTTCTATGTTATTAAAGGGGCAACCTCTGTATTTAAACACTAGTGATGACTTGTCATTTCTAATTATGTGTGTGGCTAGAATGGCCTGGTTATTTATGATCTTCTTTTTCTTCGTTATTACTGTTGCTGTGCCCTTCTTGGTTGCTAGCCATTTAATTGTTGACTGTTATTGATGTGGATATACCGGTGTATTGGAACGGAAATTGTTAAAGTTTGGATTGTTGTCCTTATCCTCTCTGATGAGTATTTGTTCTTCCATATCTCTTTTCTGTAGGGTTCCTAATTTTTTTGACAGTTTTTTCAGTTCTCTATACCAAATGGGGATACAACCTTGTTTCCCCAATCGGATATATACTTGTTGCCAGGAAAGAAATCTCGTTTTGTTGTCATTGAGGAGTTGATCAAAGAATAAGATTTTTCTGCATCTAAGAGAGTTTCTGTGCTTACGATACCATTCCTCTGTGACCATTTCCTTGATAGCTTTCTCTTCCTTCAAAATAGCTTTCCCAAACCATGTGTATTCAGTTAGGGCTAGTATGATTTCCTACATTTCAGCATGTTTAATATGTTATTTGTCAAGTTCTTTCTTATTTGAGTTCAAAAAGACAATCTGTCCATTAAAATAGATGCATTGGATCAGTATTCATTCTGTAGTTGTTGTAGTCTGATTTGGGTTGTTCTTCCTCCCAGGTTGTGCTGTTCAATCTATGGAGCAGGTTTTTTCCATGCATAAGGATCTGTCTGTTCCATAAGCTGAAAAGCTTATATCTGAAGTCGCAGTGGATAATACAGTTCAGTATTGTTATGACCAGTCCTACTTTATGTTTAAAAACTTTAATTATCTGGCTGCCCAGTCTATTGCATTCTTCTTCTGTCAAGACCATATTATTTAAAAGATATTCAATTGTTGAAAAGAGGGCATGGTTGATAATGTATTTGTTTGTTTGTCTGTAATTTTTTTCCATGCCAGGATTCTAGTTGTTATCTCAATCTTCTCTTTAATAATATTCTTCTGTGTTTTCTTTTCATCTTCTGAAATCTATACTCCTAAAATTCTTGTTGCTTTATTACTTTATAATAGCAGTACCTGTGTTCCACTTATCATGATTTCCTTTTCTCTGTGTTCTTTGCTTGTATTGAAGCAGACCAATAAGGATTTCTCACCATTGACTTGTATATTATTGATCCTTAAGAATTTTACTACCTTATATATAATATCTTGTATACCAGCTTGGTTGTTCGTAAACTATGTGATGTCATCCATATAGGTAGTTGTCATAATGTGTACCTGTTTTACTTATATACTTGCTATTTTCTCCTGGTTTGGTAATATAAGATCTAGCAATACTTCTGTTTCCATGGTATAGTCATATATTTATCCTCAATTTCTTATAGTAGGGAGTCATAAAAGATTCTCTATAATAATGGGGAAATGATGTCACTCTGTTCGATTCTATTTTATATAGGGTATTCTTTAGTGAGACTATATGCTGTAATTACCCTGTTGTTTCTATCCACTATTATGTTGTTCAGAATTTCAATTATCTTTTCTGGTATGCAGATTCTTTTGAGAGCACAGATCATAATATCCCTATTGATTGAGTCAAATGCTTTGCTGATGTCTTGGCTAAAGATTTAGACCTCCTTTCTGAACTCTTTGACTTCTTCTATAATGTTGTTCAGGATATGAATCGGTTCTTGAGTACTTTCTCCCAGAAGTTCTGCCCAATTGTTGATGCATAATATTCTGTGTTTATTGCATACTTCTGCTGTCCTTTCTGATATAATACTTATGAACACTTTTCTCATTGTCTCTAATAGAGTGATGTGCCATATTATGTTTATGCTATCTAGTCAGTCTTTAGGTTTTGGAATTGGATATACCTTCTCTTTTCTCCAATCCTGTGGTGTGTTTTCTGTGTTAAGGATTGTGTTAAAGAGTACTTTTTTCAACTCAAGCCCTGTTTTCCTCAGGTTTTTGAGTGCCATGTAGGGTATTTCTGATGGGCCTAGTGCACTAGAATTTTTTTTTCTTTTTGATGGCCTTATGTATTTCTGATATATCGATTTTGGATATCACTTTGTTAAACCAGAACTCCTTTATGGCTTGCTTGGATTTATACTGTTGCTTCCGGTGTGGGAATTCTTCAATATCTAGTGTTTGTCTCAATCTGGTTCACTTTTTTAAGTGTTCCTTGATCTTGCCTCTGATTGCCTCTAAATCCATTATAACTTCTACTTCATTCTTCTGTGTCCTTTCAATTAGTCTTTGTGTGTTGATTACCCTTGGTTGTTTGTCTAATATACTGTTAATCATCTTTCTCGACTATTCTTCTAGGAATTTGTATCTTTGTTCCACTTTCTTTTGGATAAGTTTCCTCTTTGCCTATTCTACTTTAACCTTTGTAATTTTGTTTTCCACTTCCCAGATTTCCTTGGTTTCTATTAACCATTCATGTAACATTTCTCTGTTTAGTGTTGTGTCCTTCTGGAAGAGGGGTGGTATTGTTAATAGTTGGGATGGTATGTTGATTTGCTTGATTTCTTCCTTGATAAGTGTTTTTTTTGCTTCTGATCTGGCACCTGGCTCTATTAGCCATGCTTGGCAGTACCTATATATTCTATTTAGTTTGAGCTGTTTCCACATCAGTTTTTTGAAATTGGACTTGTATATGGTACCAGTGTTTCTTCAGTTTCTTCTTTTTCTCAGAGTTGTTTTTGCTACTGTCGATATCACTTCCTTAAAATACTGCCATATCTTGTCTACTAATTTTAGGTTTTTCTTGGGATTCTTTCTTGCCTTTTATTTATTTTCCTTGTAAATTTGACCCACTGCTTGGGGTTGGAGTTGATGTAATTGATCTTATTTTGCCGGATGTTGATCCTGTTTACTAGTTTGGACCATGTCGAGTGTGATGTATTGAGATATAACACTAACATTTTATGATCACTTTGGATAACTGTTTCTATCACTGTGTGGTATTCATTGATAATAAAGGGGAGTAGAAGCCTTGATGTCCAGATATAGTCTAGTCTGCTTCTATACTCTGATTTCAGTCTGTTATATGTGAAGCTTTTTGTTAACAGGAGAATGTTTCTAAATGTGTCTATGAGATCAAAGTCTGTCAGTGTGTTGATTATGTGTTGTGGCTTGGTTTTCCTTGTTTTTTCATTTGTATGGTCCAGGCTCTCATTTGCTACTTTATTGAGGTCTTCCATTTGTATTATGAACATGTTTTTTCCTTTCACCTCACTAATTTTTTCTTTGCACCATTGTTGAAGTTTTAGCTTGTCCTATTTTCTACTTTCATTTGCTGAATTATATATTGTTATTAATCTGTATCAGATTTTTTTCTTGAAGGTCATGTCAAGGAGAAGGCTACGATTGTTGCATTCTTCAGTATTATAAACATGTATGAACCATTTCTTTTCCATTACTATGGCTACTCCTGCTTTGTGGCTTTGATTTATTGATTTTGTTGTCCATATTTGGTATCTATTTTCTATGTCTCAGCATTTCTGATTTTTTGTCAGTCAGATTTCTGTTATTCCTAAAATGTCAATTTGATTTTCTTGACAGAATTCTAATAATGCTATTCTATCTGTTTCATTGTTAATTTCTCTTACATTTATTGTTCCCATTTTTTACTAGTTTTGTTCTTTAGTTGATTTATTTTCTTTGATTTCTTGCCTGTTGCAAGTATTGTTTTCTGTCTTGTTGTTAGTCATAGTTATTATACATAAATTGGAAAATAGATTCTATTGTGTTCATTTCTTGTATGGGTGATTCCAGACAGTCCATCATTTCTCTCATGATGGAATTGATTGTGGATTCCATTTGACTGATTCTTTGGTTAATTATCTCCTGTTGATATCTGATATCTATCTCCTTTGGTGATGGGTCCTGAAGTTCAACGTTGATAATAGTGAGCTGTTATTTGGGGGGATTCTGTAATGGCTGGATCTATTTCTTTGATGGTGGATCCTGTTTCAATTGCTGTAATTCTTCTGTCCAGTATGTGAACCTGATATTTGATTGTGTTCATGTTCACTTGGAGTTGTCTAAGGGTTTCCAGTATCATTTCTGTTTGTGTGGTTTGGGTGGGGGATCCTCTTACAATACCGACATATGTTTGTCTTGAATTTATTAGGTTTGTCATTTTGGATCCATTACCTTGTCTTGTAACAAGAGTTTCTCTTTGTTGTTGAGGCATGAGTCGCAATTGATCTAGTCTATTGATTCTTTCTTTTCTTATTAAGTCCTTTTTCTCTATGGTGCAGGTGCTGATATCATGCTCTTGGGCTTCATATTTGAAACAGAGGATCATTGTTTTTGTTACCTATTTCAATACTGTAGCTCCCAGTTGAGTGTGATGTTTTTTGCTTCATTTAGTTCTTGGGTATTCCTGTAGTATAAGATGGCGAATCTCTTGTTTTGGTTGAGGTGGTTGAGAGAGAGGTAGCATGCTTGGGCATGTGTCTGATGTATGATTGTTTGCAGGTCTCTTGCCATGTCCCCTGTGATAGATTGGCAAAGGTAGCACTATACTAGTTTCTCTTCTCTTTGGTAATGCAGGTTCTAACTATGTGATATACGTGCATACAAAAGGTATCCTTGTAGAAGGCCCATGTCTAGCTATATTTTTCGAAAGCTTCTTTTGTACAGAATTGTTTTGTTCCAGATTGGACGGCTCCTGCTGGTTGTAGTATAATATATTCGATTACTGACCTGTTTTCAAATAAGCTGGCAATTTCCTTCTTTGTGTACTGTGTGGGGATGTCCCAGATCCTGATAGATCGGGCTTTGCTTTCCTGTTGTCGTGGGCTAAACCAGCAAGTCCGTCACTAAACTGTAGCACCTCACATAACCCAGTCGTCTTACAAATACTCACAAAGAAGAGAACGCCTCCTATAAAGAACATCTAGGAAAGGCAGAGGCATGGTGATTGACTTGGCCAAAGGTAAGTGTCTCTTTATTGCGTTCTGTTTCTTTGGTATCTCACTAATTCTTATCTCTATTCTCAAGGAGGGCTGTTTTCCTAACATATTTAGCTCTGCCTTTTCGGCATACATTGGTAAGCTATTTATACTTTCTAACTAATAATGGGCTATCTACTTTATAATCGGCTATACTAACCCTAAGCTTTGCTAAACTTTCCATACTTTTTCAGATACATATAGTTCCCTTATCAGTACCCAAGCCTTATCTATAGTTTCTTACCTTGCAACACTCAATTTTTCATGCCATACTTTTGGGTTTTTGGATTCTAGACCATTATGCATAAATCGTATCACCCATGTGACCCATAACACTGTATTTCTATTTGTGGTACAAGGCTAAATTTGGCTATTTTATTGCTAGTGATTTTTGATTCACATGCCATTGTGGCCTTATGGAATTGCTAAAGATAGCTGTGATTATTGATGTACTAATTGGAGACTCTGTGTGTACATGTCTTAGGGATGCTAGGTACCTCAACTTGTTGCGGATGTAGTTAATTTTTTCCTCAGTTGAGGAGTTAGGCACTTCTTCTGGATCGATAAATGCCTTACCCAGACAAAGTGTGTTATATTCTTCCTGAAAGTTTCTTTGTTCCATTTCTGCAGTTGTTGGTACTGAATTCCTGTCGTAGCTAAAGTTGTTGTTAGTAATGTTGCTATGGTTCTTCAAGTTCTCTCCTCCTTTATTATTGTGGAAGCTGTGAGGTTACTGTTATGGGTGAGATCAGTCTGGTGCCATAATTGTTTCCTTTAATAGTTCTGAGGCTTCATGGTGTCTTTCTTAGTGTCAGTTCTATTGTTATGTTTTTCATTCTCAAGCTCCATATCTTTCTGGTTCTTGGTGTCGACTTGACTGATCTCTACCACTTCTGTTTTTCTCTTCATTTCTGTTGGTACCTGATTCTTTTTTGTGCCAGTGAAAGGGTTGAACTTGTTTCCAATTTTGAATTTCAGTAACGGTTTGGTGATCTTGCCACTACCTGTCAGGATTCTTCCTTGTATAGTTGACTATTAGGTCTTTTGTCCTTATCGACCTTCTTGACATATTTGTTATGGAAGTTCTTTGTGAGCATTGCATTTTTTCTTCAATATTTTGAGTTGTTACCATAAAAAAAAATTTTTAAGAATTTTGATGTAAGTGGGAAAGAGTTTTTTTTTTTGATAAATAATATATTATATATTATATTATAGTTTGTATTATTCATAATTTATAAATATAACCTCAATTCAAAAATTTTATATATAAGTTTATCAATTTTTTTTCTTTATTGTTGATAAATAGTTGATAAATTTTAAATGAATAATTAATGACACTAGTCAAAATTATGTCATTCAACTGCTGAATTATTGTCAAATTTGACAAAATTTAATAATAAAAATATTGACGAATTATTTACAATTGCTGCCACTCAGCATTAAAAATATCGGAAAAAAATCAGCAAAAAAATACCAGCATTCTGAGAAAAAAAAATTTAGCACAAAATCTGGCAATATTGTGACAAAAAAAAAATTTTGCGGTAAAAAATTTAACAAAAAATTGATACTGCAGCAAAAAATTTGGCAAAAAAATTGGTACTGCGACAAAAAATTCAGCAAAAAAATTGATACTGTGGCAAAAAATTCGACAAAAAAATTGATACTATGGCAAAAAATTCAGCAAAAAAATTATTGCAGCAAAAAATTTGGCAAAAAAATTATTGCGAAAAAAAAATTCAGCAAAAAAATTACTGCGGCAAAAAATTCAAATTTCACAAAATTTATTAAAAAATTACAATTCAATTAACTAAATTATTCATTATTTCCCTTTTTCTCTTCCTCCTCTTTCTTCTTTTCTACTTGCTTTTCTTTTTTCTTTAAAGATCTCGGCTTGACTCTTTTAAAATTAGTTAATTGGTTTTACCTTGCCGAATGTTTTCCAAGATTTTTCACTTTTTTCTTCTAATCTAACTGCCCCCTGAATTTTGTCCATTCATGCACATTCCCCAGTTTGTTCTTCACCCTCTGAATATATTAATGATTCCTCATATTCAGTAATTTTTCATTTTTTAGATTTATCTACTGATTTTTTTTTTTTGTCTTTTTTTCTTGTTCACGTTCTGAAGTTTCTTTCAAACTGTATGCACAATTCGACAAACCTTCTGGTGACATCATATCATAAAAATATAAATCATCATGATATCATTTACGAGTTGGCTAAAAAAAAAAAAAAAAACTCTTTCCGCTGATTCCCAAATTTTCAGAAAATTTTCTTTTTTGGTAATTTTTTGAGAAAAAGAGAAACCAGCCAAAAAAACAAGAGAAACCAAGTGAAACCACCTTTACAACCAAACAACTTACAAAAACAAGTTCAAGAACTCTTTACAGAATACAGAAGAGGTAAGTTTTACAAAAATTACTAACTTCTACTATATAAATTTTT